ACCAGCACGCTGGTTCGCCGCATTGCCCGTCGGGATGGAATGGGATGCCATGACCCGCTGACAACGCCGGGGCGTGGCATCAGCGGCGAATAGGCGCCCGGCGTGGAGCCATCCCTGTCACCATCTGCAGTGTCGGTGAGACCCACATAAAGGAGAAGAAAGGTCCGTCGGTCCTAGAAGCCTTCCTTTCCTTGGTTCTTCTACATCTTTCTCTCTGTAACCTGCTCTTCCCCTTCGTTTATAAAAAGGGGAAGCAGGACGCCACATGGGGGAGGGGAGACGGCTGGACACCACTCTACATGGCTGTAGACATCAAAACACACGCCCTAACACGTCTTAGGAGCACACGCATATCAGAGACTTGGGACATGTCCCTCTCTCATCTGTTTGTAACCCCTACTATAAACTTTTAGTGCTAGTAACATAAGCAGCAACGACGAACTGGACGTAGAGACTTTTTGCCCGAACTAGTATAAACCTCGTGTCCTCTAAGCACACCATCCGAACCAGACACGCAATACTCAAAATTTACTAGTTGGTACTTGAAACACCGACAACAAGCTTAAGAAACAAAGAAAGAAACAAATAAAATATCAGGAAAAGAAGGGAAATTACAACAGGTTTTGAATCCATAAATCAAAAGTATGAGATAATCTAGTCCTTGCCCGTAACGAGAGGATCTTTATTTCCTCTGTGAACACTGCTTTAGCTGAGTTGAGAATCGGCTGAACTCCTTTGAATATGAAGTCATTCCAAACTATCCAAATTGTCCAGCACATTAATATTGTGACCAACATAAAGAAGGCAGGGTGAGATTGATCCCTGATCTGATCAACTGCTGCAGTGATGTTTTGATCTATCTGAATTGTAATGCCCAACAAATTCCAGCATTTTTTTTGGCAAACTGACACTAAAAGAACAAATGGTCAGTTGTTTCCTCAATAGATTCTTGACAAAAGACACAGTTGTATGAGTCAAGAGGCATATTTTTCCTTCTCAGAACATTCCTTGTGCTTAGTCGGTCCTTCAATAACAACCAGAAAAAAACCTTGTGCTTCGGCTGACAAAAACACTACCACAACCAATTATAAACTTGAGGAATATGCATGTGACCAATGAGGTGCTTGTAGGTTCATGAAGTTGTTGTTCTTCCCCACTGAGGAGTCCAGATATCTTCCTGCTCAGTATAATGTTCACCGAAAGACTGCAATACTTGAAGTTGTTGAAAAGTTTCAGAAGACAGAGGTAGCAAAAAGAGATCTGAGAGTGACCAGTGAGAAAAGAACTTGGAGACAGTGATGGTTTTATTCTTGACAAAAGAAAAGAGTTCAGGGTACTCAAGCTTCAAGGGCGGCTGAATCCAATTGTCTGACCAAAAGAGACATGATCTTCCATTTTAAACCTGGACCAAGGTGAAAGATTTAAAGCAATCAGGCAACTTTAGAATATCTCTCCACCAAAATGAGCTTTTTTTAATATGACTTGGTAACTTTCCATTTGAATAATGCCTCTCCCAGATCAAGGAAACTCAAGGAACATCTTTGTGATTGAAGAATTTATCCATGTTTTTTAAGAGAAGTGCTTCATTGTGCTTTTTTAAGTTAATAACTCTAAGTCCTTCTTTAGGAACACAAACCATTTCTCAGGCTGCTTTTGGGGCCTTTTAGAGTTTATATCAGCCCTCCTCCAACAACAGTGTTTCCTAAACTTATCTACTTGTTTGAGGACTCCTTTTGGGAGAGCAAATGCACTCAGGTGGAATGTTGGTAGAGCTATCAAAACAGCATTGGTGATTTCTAGCTTACCAGCTTGAGAGAGGAAGATTGAAGTCAAGGAAAACTTTCTTTCACACTTGGTTACTTGGGGAAGGTAATCCTCAATCCATGGTTTAGTAATCCCCAGAGGAAGCCCCAAATAAGTAAAAGGCAAAAAAAAAAACTTTAGCATGGCCAAAGGTGTTAGCCAGAAGGTTGAATTTTGCTTCAGAAATGTTAATGGGAACCATGTGAGACTTGCTGTAATTAACCCTTAAACCAGTTGATTCAGGAAAAGAGTTGAGGACTGATTTAAGGAAAAGTAATTGCCTAGCATCCCCTTCCATGATGATTAAGGTATTATCAGCATATTGGATCACTGGAAAATCTGAAGAAAAAGGGAGAGAAATTGGAAGGTGTAGTCCCAAATTCTTTGCTTTGTCTAGGATGGACTGAAGCAAATCAGCAGCCAGAACAAAAAGAAGAGGTGAGAGGGGATCACCTTGCCTGACCCCTCTTTTACAGTGAATAGTCTTTCTAGGAGCTTCATTAAGAAGCACTTTTGAGGTGCCAAAAGAAAGAATATTCTTAATCCAATTGACCCAAGTCTGACCAAAGCCTTTGGCTTCTAAAAGATTGAGGATGGTATTATGCTCAATTTTGTCAAAAGCCTTTTCAAAGTCTAGCTTTAGAATGATGATTTCTTTTTTTGAGTGGTGACACAGGTGTAGATACTCAAAAGCCTAGGCAATGCAGTCTTGGATGGTTTTACTTTTGATAAAGTCATACTGATTTTTGTGAATCAGAGGTATGATTACCTCCTGAAGCCTATGGGCAAGAAATTTGATGGCCAGTTTCATGGAGCTATTGAGGAGGAAAATAGGTCTGATGTCAGACAAACAGATGGGGCTCTGGATCTTGGGAACCAAGGTGATAAAAGAGGAGTTAACACTTTGAAGGCAGACATTGTTCTCCTTAAAAGCCCAACATAGCTCATAAAAATCATTTTTATATGGTTCCAGCATTTCTCAATGAATTCATTACTAAAGCCATCTGGACTAGGAGATTTGTCTCATCTATTTCTGCAGTTGTGAATTTATCTTCGAGTGGGGCCAGGGATATATTATTATACATCTAGTCATAGTGTGTATGATATAAAACTATATGCATTTAGAAAAGTCAAAATGATTTATAATTCATAATCTATAAATTATAATGAAAGGGCCTGATTACATGCCTACTATTATGCCCGAATTCTATAGGTGACCAACAGCTGGCCAACCGATCGATCTAAACGCTGTCGATTGCATCTAGATCGAAGAGTAGATGCATGCATATGCTCAATCGTGTGAGAATAGTACCGCTACTAGTTAGCTGTCTTATCGTGACCTGTATGTATATGTATGTATGGGTACAGGCATGGCAAGTTGACCCGATCTCCTCGTGTTCAAATGCTTATGCTTATGCTTATGCCAACGTTTATCACTCCACTGGGTTAGTGTTACCCTACACGGCAGCTAGAGTCGTCGTGCAGATGTCAATTGTCTTTCTTGACGCGGTAGAGTAGAGTTGTGAGGAGCAGCACTACATCATTTGCGTTCCCTAGTGGTCAATACTAGTCAAAATAGTTGTAGCATGTTCTCATCCACAATGATGACCTTATAATAATACATGGGTTACACATGAGTACATGAGGATGCTGACCTGCGTTCACATGCCAACAAAACACTGCCGTCCGAGCGGCAGGCGGCAGCGCCAATTGTTTTGCACTTTTGCTAACACAACCAACCACCATCCGCGGCACCGCGACTTTGGTCCTGTTCGCTTGGGTTTATTTGCCTGATAAGTTATAATTAAAGTACTGTTAACTGATTTAATGTGAGAAAAAAATACTGTTCGTTGGCTGAAAAAATATGGCTTATAAGGCATTTATTCCCCCAATGAACCATGATTGACTTGCATTGACGACAACGACCCAACCCGATTAGCTCAAGTGCACTGCGAGTCTGGGATCTGTGTAGTGATGCTGACATGATTGGTATGTACTACAGCTCTACTGTACACGTCTGTCTGCACTTTGGTCAAGGTAATCAGAATTAACCTTCGCATGATTGGCTTTGACAGAAACATTATTCAAACAATTACCGTGTCCTAAAATCAATTAACAAAGATGACGGTCCATCTCTGTTAACCGAGGCCCAATCGACGAGGAGTTAGGTCCCGACCCACAGGTACGTTCTGACCGATTCTGTAAATCGATAGTGTACCAGTGTTCAAGTCTAGCTCATTTTCCAAATGTTTGTGTGGTTATTAGTTTGTGGTTATTGGTTTGTGGTTATCCAGGAGTATCACTAGATTTGTCGTGAGATATATTTTCATATTATTTCCATTTTATTTTATGAATATTGATATATTTTTTCTCTAAATTTAATTAAGCCTTAAAAAAATAACTAGGATAGAGCTAAAGTTACATCTTTTTTAGACGGATGTAGTACAAATTGTTTTAGAACCTGTAGTCCCTTCTCTATATTTTCTTGTTTTCTTGCCGATGTAAATGCTATCATTCTTACAAATAAATGAGACATCTTTTTTTTTAATGTGGTATAAAAGCCACAGCATGTTAAATTGATCAATGTCGGTTTTAATTTTATGCATAATTCTGAAGACGATATGCATGACTGAACCGAAGAGTGTAGTTACAGTACCGTGTGCTGCTATCTAATTAAGCTTCTCTATTTTATTCCTTTGCATAAAGAAAAAGGGCCTCTAATCCAACTTTTAAGGCAGATATGATAGTTTAAAAAAAACGAAAGCATCGGGTCTAGTCTTCTGCTTAATAAGCAACATATTTTACGTATACTAATAAGGGGTCTGTTTGTAGATCTTGTGCTGTGGATTTTAGTTTGAGGAACATTTGTTAATTTACTGCAAATTTATGAAAATATAAGATGCTTAACTAAACAAAGTCCCTTAAATGATTATGGCAACTGCTTATATCAATAATTGTGTGTGGATGACTGATTAAAGCATAAAGAGCTTCATTGTCATTACGAAAAGAAAAATACTAATGCACAAAGGGCAGGCCTTTTATTAGAATAGAACATTGAATCCAGCCTGGTGTTCACACACTCAACCAAAACGGACAGGTGGTTTGGTGTCGCCGCGGTGGGCGTACTGTCAGTCCCCCGCGTCTACATAAGCTGGCTCCTAATTCTTTACGACATGCGTACCTATACCAAACTACCAATGGCTCCCCACCACCTGGCCGTGGCCGTGGTCGCCATCATCGCCGCCGTCTCGCTGCTCGTGCCCCGCGCCGCTGGCTACCCGTGGCCAATTTGTGGAACAAGCAACGACTTCAAGCCCAACAGCACATACCAGGCCAACCTCAACCTCCTCGCCGCCACGCTGCCCAAGAACGTCTCCGCGTCCCCGACCCTCTACGCCACCGCCGTCGTCGGCGCCGTCCCGGAGCAGGTCTGGGCCATGGGGCTCTGCCGCGGCGACGCCAACGCCAGCAGCTGCCTCGCCTGTCTCACCCAGGCGTTCCAGGACCTGACCAACGACTGCTCCTACAACAAGGACGCCACCATCTACTACGACCCCTGCGTCCTCCACTACTCCGACGTCCACACCCTCCCCGACGATGACACCGGCCCGACGACACTGTCGTACACCATCAACAACAACGCCAACGTCACCTCCGACCCGGCCCGGTTCGAGCGCCTCCTCGCCGCGCTCGTAGACGCCACCGCCGAGCACGCCGCGTACAACTCCACGCGGCGGTTCGCCACGGGGGAGGCCGACTTCGACCAGGAGTTCCCCAAGGTGTACACTCTGGCGCAGTGCACGCCGGACCAGACGCCGGCGCAGTGCCGCAGGTGCCTCTCCGGGCTTATATCGCAATCGCTAGACGGGTTCCAGAACAACATCGGAGGCAGGGTGCTCTGGGTCAACTGCACCTGGCGGTACGAGACCGCGCCTTTCTTCAATGGACCGGCCATGGTGCGGCTGGCATCGTCGAGCCCTCCAGCACCGGCACCGGCACCGGCGACGGCCGCGACAGGAAGAGGTGGGTTAAAGCGCTTATGATTTTATTTTACTCTTTGTTTGCATAGCATGGACTCATGGACCCCGTGCATATTGACTGTAAATTATTCATGCGTGTGAAATAGCTTGACCAGTTGACCGTGATTGAAATTTGCTAGTGCGCGCGTGCGTGGTTGATGAATTATTGTAATCTTTACTCGAGTGGCGCAAATATTAGAATTTTAAATTAGTTGCTTCAAAGCTAGTCTTCAACATCACTTTCATTCATGTTACCTATTCTGGCATTTCGTGGTCAGAATAATCCAAAAGTTGGCCCCAGATTTTCTACGACAAGCACTCATAATAAAATATAAGCATTGATGAGGAAATGCTTTTGACCAGTGATAAAGCTATTGATACGGTCTTGATACTTGACCAATCTAAATTGTTTGTTCTGTTTCTACTGAAATTCCGTTTGTGTGCTCACACATTCATTTCATTCACAGGGGAGAGGAAGTACAGTGTCTTCATTGTGGTTCTTGCAGTTGTGCTGCCTACTCTAGCTGCACTGAACCTTGTGTTTTGCTTCTGTTTCTGGAGGCGGCGGCGACCAGTAGCACAGGCAAAGCAGTCACGTAGTATGTTCCTGCAAAATCCTCCCACTTTGTCACAGCCTGAAACACTTCATGGAGTCTGAACTGAAAAGAAATGACACATCCAATCTGTACTTGAACAGAGCCCATGTATTCCACGGAAGCAGAGGACATGGAGACGGTGGACTCCATGATGATCGACGTCTCCACCCTGCGAGCCGCAACAGGGAATTTCGACGAAAGCAACAAGCTCGGCGAAGGCGGGTTCGGCGCGGTGTACAAGGTACTGAACAATCAATGAAGAATGTGCCATGGAGCTCATGACTAACATTGGTGTGATTTGTTCAGGGCGTTCTCCCGGACGGCGACGAGATAGCGGTGAAGCGGCTGTCGAAGAGCTCGACGCAGGGGGTGGAGGAGCTGAAGAACGAGCTCGCGTTGGTCGCCAAGCTGAAGCACAGGAACCTCGTCAGGCTCATCGGCATGTGCCTGGAGCAGCAAGAACGGCTTCTCGTGTACGAGTTCGTCCCCAACCGGAGTCTCGACCTGATACTCTTCGGTACTGATGATAAGCGTGAGCAGCAGCTTAGCTGGGAGCAGAGGTACAAGATCATAAACGGCATCGCTCGAGGCCTGCAGTACCTCCATGAGGACTCCCAGCTCAAGGTAGTCCACCGTGATCTCAAGGCCAGCAACATCCTGCTCGACGTGGAGATGAACCCCAAGATCTCAGATTTTGGCCTCGCGAGGATCTTCAGCCGAGACCAGACGCAGGCCGTCACCAGCCGCGTTGTCGGAACCTAGTCAGTACCCATGCATCTCTCAGTGTTTAGTTGTGCTCTGGTTGAGCTTCCCTGCTGAAATGGGTACATTTCTCTTTTCAGTGGGTACATGGCTCCAGAATACCTCATGCGCGGGAACTACTCCGTGAAATCGGACGCCTTCAGCTTCGGCGTCATGGTGCTGGAGATCGTCACGGGGAGGAAGAACAACGACAGCTACTACAACTCCCAAAAGTCTGGAGACCTCTTGACCACCGTAAGTGCAAACTGACAATCACCATTGTTGCTACAGCTACACCTTGCTGGCTTACGGTGAAGTTAGACCTCACGGTTACAATTACCCGTGCAGGTATGGGAGCACTGGGAGGCCGGGACGGTGGCGGAGCTGGTGGACCCGTCCCTGGGCGAAAGCTTCCCGGAGGGCGACGTGCTGAGGTGCATCCACATCGGGCTGCTCTGCGTCCAGGGAGACCCCGCGGCCCGGCCGGTGATGTCGTCCGTCGTGATGATGCTTGGAACCAACACGGTCACCCTCCAGGCTCCATCCAAACCGGGATTCTTCGCCGGAAAGAGTGGCACTAACACGACCGTGTCGGCTGACGTGTCGCTTTAGAGTTTGCCATGAGAGCACGGGACGGCAAGGTAGCTTGTGCAAATCTACAGATCAATTCACAATTGACTCAGATTTGCTAATTGAAATATACGGCTTATGAATAGAGGGGCCAGTGGAAACATAACTGAAAAGTAAGTAATACAGACGCTAGAGTATTGCCCTGTGTTTTGTTTATTCGTACAATAATAATCCAATTGCTCTGGCAAGTGGCAGCATGATGCTCCAAGGCTCATCTTGGTTCCAATTCTGTAATTGACACTTCATTTGGTGATATCACCCCAGACGTAACGTTAGCGGTGGATTGGGAAGTTGTAGGATATGATTCTGAATAAACAGTTGAGTAGTAACCACTCTTGGGAATGAAAAATACTGGCTTTAGTGGAGCCTGGAGGGAGAAAGTGCTGCCGCTGAGCATGACGTTTACTGTTGACATCATCGGTCGATCGACCGGGTTATCCTGAACACACAGTAGGCCGATATGGACATATTTCAGCATCTGTTGCGCAGGAGCTTTGCCTCTCAGAGATGGATCCATAACCTCCACAATTGTTCCCATGGTCCAGTGCTCCCAAACCTGTATCAATTATCAAATGCAAATTTTGTTAGTGTATTTGAAGCAAATTACTTGTGTAGAGAGTTTTGGGATAGCAGAATGTCTTACAAGACTTAAGAGATCAACAGACTCCTCGATGTTAAAGGAACCACTGCTTCTTCTTCCGGTTAAGATTTCTAGAATCAAGATGCCAAAGCTGAAAACATCGGACTTTATAGAATAGTGGCCACGCATGGCGTACTCGGGTGCCATATACCCACTGCAACATGAAGGAAATTCATTCTAGTCAAGAATAGAGGCATGGAGCTAGAAAGAGCAAAAGCTTAACAATAAATGGTGCTAAAAAATGTGTTATCTTTGCATGCAAATTTTAGGTAAGTGGGTGGGAGGCATGGTGTCCCCCCTAGTTTGGAAGTAGACGTACTATGTTCCAACGACGCGGCTTGTGACCTCCCGCGATTGATCCCTTCCAAATAGCCTAGCCAGGCCAAAATCCGAAATCTTAGGAGTATAATCAGAGTCTAAAAGGACATTGCTCACTTTAAGGTCCCGGTGAATAATCTTCAACTGAGAATCTTCATGTAGATACTGTAATCCTCTGGCAATTCCATTTATTATCTTGACTCTTTTTGCCCAATCTAGCTCCTTGTTTTCTCTCAGGATCTGTCAGTTGAACAAGAAACCTCATGTCAGAAATGTTAAATTCTGATACTACTAGTGCTATCGGAAAACAGATTATTACAAAATAATACCGAAAAGGATGGTGTCGATGCTTCTATTGGGCATGTATTCATACACAAGCAGTTTCTCATGTTCTTGCAAGCAAACACCAACAAGCCTAACAAGATTCTTGTGTTGAAGCTTGGCAACCAAGACAAGCTCGTTTTTCAGCTCTTGTATTCCTTGCCCTGAACTCTGTGAGAGCCTCTTCACTGCAATTTCTTGACCATCAGGAAGGACGCCCTGCGTAAGTGTGAACCTTCAGTTGCTGAAAATGAAAATGCATTATGAATCGGGCTAGTATGAGTGGCACCTTATAGACAGCACCAAAACCTCCTTCACCAAGCCTATTGCTCTCATCAAAGTTACCGGTCGCAGCGCGTAAAGTTGATATATCGAGAAGAAGGGAATTGATGCTTTCAATGTCCCCAACATTAGTTGAATCTGTCAGAATATAGTGACAACACAATATATAAACATGAGTAATACCCAACACATATAATCTCCTTGAGATTTAAGTAAAAAAAAACAAAAACTAAATGTAATCAAATACATAACATCCCTTTATATGTCAGGTAGTGCATTGATTCACATACTCTCTTGCAAATCTGTTCACAATTCCAAATTATCAAGACAACTTACCCGCTGGTGTCTGCTCCCTTGCTGGTCTCCTCCTCCAGAAGAAACAGAGACAAGCAGTACTGATAGATAGCACCGCAGCAACTATGGGAAGTGCAATTGCTAAAACAATTCCTGTTTTGTTTCTGGTTCTTCCTGTAAACAAAGTCCACAAACTTCAATAAACAAGCATGCCGCAAATCTTAGGAACAATTCAATCATAATCTGAACCAATTAGTACAAAACATATCTTCAATCATGTTTGTGGAAAGATACAGACTCAACCACTTGCAGGAAACTTTGGAGTACAAGCTTACAGCACTGAGAATCTTAGTGCTGCTAGGCCCAGAGGTTAAGGAAATCAACGGCTAGCAGAGTAGCAGCGTGGCGCTTCGCACTATGTTATTGTCGAAAAGTTCGAATTGGAAATAAAACAAAGATAACTTTACGACAAAATCTTATCTCTTCTGAACCTTTTATAATTAACAGATCATGGAGTGGACCATGGGATGGTTTATAAACATTTAACTTTGAGTAGTGCCTACTGCCTACTTAACCCTCCATTGGAAGCGGAACTAACCACATTGTTTTGTAGGTAGACAGACTTCACCATGCTAAATGGAAAATGCAAGCACGTTTGAAATGTAGTAATGGGCAACTTTTTCCTTCATGATTTTACTTTTCTAATCTAATACATTTTCCTTTGTAAAAAGTTCTGGGTTTTTTTAGCATGAAACAGCAGGTGCTCTGGCTTTGCATTAAGTAGAAGGTGAAGAGCTATAACAAAATTACACGGTGCCTAAAGTTCCCAGAAAACAGAAAAAAGAAACAAGATGAAAGAAGATGAAAAACACTGCACAACAGTTGCGACATATCTTTTTCTTCGTGCGTACATGTTCTACGCGTCATTTCCTGCTTACATATTCTACGCGTCATTTTCAGTCAAACGAGTAGTAAATGATAGCGACGGGACTGCAGAGATGTAAGAAAACTCTGCATACAAGGTTACGTGGCCTCTACATCTGTTGACAATAGTGTGGTTCCCAAATAATTAGAACATAAGAATTCAGTTGTTTGCCTCTAATTATTATCAAGTCAACAGTCGTATGAAACTAGAATCTGGATTGCTCTGCCATGCCCATGTTTTCCTTTTGTGTTCTTGATTGAGACGCCCATCCCTGTTCTAAAATCTGATTTGGAGAACTGGAGGAGATATCTAGTGCTAAAATCAAGCTAAAACTGCAGATTTAGCGAAGTTGTGTTTGACATCTCACCTGGTGGTGTTGCCGTCGGCGTCACGTTAACTGGCACAGGAGGTGGCGCCGGCGCCGGTGACGGAGACAGCGACGATGGTGCAGGAAGCCGTAGCGTCGGTCCGCCCGTGAAGAAAGGATACACCTCGTACCTGAAATTGCAGCGTACTCCAAGGACCCTGCCGCCCTGCCGGCCGCTCAGGTACCGCGGCATGATTCCAAGTATATCGCCAAGGCATCGCCGGCAGTCGGCCGGCGTCATGTCCGGCGTGCACTGCGTGAGGCCATAGATGGTGGGGTCGGTGGCATCGAACGCCTCCTCCCCCGTGGCGAACAGCCTGGTAGAGTTCGCCGCCGCGTAGTCGCCGGTGGCATTGAGGAGCACGCGGACGGCGGCGTCGAACACCTTGATCGGCGAGCTGACGTTCAGCGAGTTCATGAGGATCAGCTCGTTGTCGTTGCTGGTGGTGTCGTCCAGGAAGTCCATGTTGGAGAAGCGGAGGTAGCAGCCGTCGTAGTAGACGGTGGCGTCCTTGTCGAAGGCGCACAGCTGCTGCGCGCTCTGGAAGGCGGTGGTGACGCAGGACCCGCATGCCGTGGCGTTGGCGTCCCCGCGGCAGAGCGCCAGAGCGTACGCGATGTCCGGGAGGACGCCGACGCTGCCCTTGGCGAAGAGCGTCCGGGACGAGGAGGCGTTCCTGGAGAGCGCCGTGGCGAGGCTTGCGAGGTTGGACTGGTAGGTGCTGTTGGCCGTGTAGTTGCCGGTGTTCCCGCACACCTGCCACGGCCGCGCCTGCGCGGTTGCTCGTGGCGATAGGAGGAGGAGGAGGAGGAGAGAGGGGAGGGCGAGGAAGAGGAGGTGGCCCGCGGCGAGGCGCGGGGAGGCGCCGCGAACCCCCGCGGCCGCGGCCGTGGCCATGGCGCAGCGGCGTCTTCTTGTGCGTGGTGATTGTCTGACTGACTGGGGAGGGGTGATTAAGACTTACGAGGGTAGTGCCGTGTGCTTAGCAGAGGGTTTGGTGGATGATGGTCCGTTTGACTAGCATGTAGCAGCCTCCCTCGAGTATTCGCTGGGGCCCGCAGGGGGGCGACGCTGTGGATGACGTGCCGGGCCCACAGGGTCACCCTGACCCAGCCGATCCCAGGCATTTGCTGGGGGCACTGGTGGCTGGTGCCGTATGTATCACTGTAGTGTATGTCTGTATCAGCGTCGAGGAATTCATGGAGCAAACAATGATACATACGTACAGTAGATCTAGTAGTGATCTTAGAGCAACCATAATATATATGGACCAACTTTTAAGTGATTTAATTGACGTGTGGCGTTATACTCAACATCCATAGTGGCGTGTAAATTCTAATTAGCCCTTTCATTGGATTTCCACTCTCCAGTTCAGCCCACCGCATGCCTACGTCCTGTTCGCTTGGGCTTATTTGGCTTATAAGTCATATTTTTTCAGCCAACGAACACTATTTTTCTTTCACACCAAATTAGCCAACAGTACTTTCAGTCATGGCTTATCAGCCAAACGAACCAAAACAAACGGAGCGCTAGTTGCTGCGCCGCCATCGTGCCCTTGCTTAGCACAGCCAGCTCTTGCCTTCGGCATGCATGCCCACCGCCGACGCGCGCCTACTGATGTGCGCTATAGCTGCACGAGGCCGCCCCGCTGATGAGCACCCTTGCTGCTATTAGTATTAACAATGAGGCTTTTACATGTATGTCATTAAAAAAGTTTGTAATTACACATAAGCCATTAAAAAAATTAACCGCGCACAGGTGTCACTGCTCTAAATTTCTTTGCCTTATAAGCCATCCCGTCCGTGTTCTGTTTGTTTTTTGCCGTTTGGTGTGGGACCGGCCAATGAAATTGTCCATATTACCCTTGGTGGTGGAAACCAACTACGATTGACCACCTCAGTTTTCTTTCTCTCTGTGTTCCTCCTTGTCTTCTTCCCCTTGCGCGTCGTCAGCACCGTGCCCGGTGCCCCGGCCCTGTGCCCCCGGCACCTCCAGGTCTCGGCCCCGCCCTTCGCCCCCGGCGCCTCCCGGCACCAGCCCCGCCCTACGACCCCGACGGCCTAGCCCCATGCTCCCGGCCCAGCACCGCCCTGCACCCTCAGCGGCTGCGGCCTGGCCCCGCGCCCCCAGCGACCGCGCACGCTCCAGGCCCCGCGCCCGGCCACGCGCCAGCGCCTGCTCCCCGGCGACCCGACCCGTGACTCGGCCCGACGACCTCCTAGGCGGTCATGACACCGTCGTCCGTCGTGGCGGACCCGGTGGCCTCGCTGGTCGTCGTGTGGAGAGGGGAGCCGGGGCGCCGCCGTGCCACATCGCCAGATCCGGCGGCGCCTGGCTACTCCTCACCCACCTGGATCCCGTCACTGTCAACGCGGCCGAGCTCGTAGCTGCCCCACCGCACGCCCGCCGTCTCCGTCTCCTTCACCAGATCTGCCGCTGCGCTCCTCGTCAGTCGCGCGTGGCCGCTAGCTCTAGGGTGCCATCGCCGTCTCAGTCCCCCAGCCTCGTCGCGCACTCGCCACAAGCGCGCGGCGCCCAAGATGCTGGATGCACCACTGGTGGGGATAGGAACGGGAAGTGGACGCCGCTCGGGAAGAGCAAGGAGGTGCCCTGGTGGCCTCGCTGCTCGTCGCCGTGGAGAGGGGA